AAAGCCCAGCTCGGAGTCCGCGCCCACGGACCCCGGACCCCGGCCCATTGTTAGCCGGCTTTTCCACGACAACTATGCATCTGGCTCCGGCGGGAAGCGGAAAACGGGAGGCGGCTCTCCAGGCTTCCCGACCCTCCTGCGCCATCAACTTCTCAGGAGTGGCTCGAGAAAGATAGATGCATGTGCCAAGCGAGACAACAACCCCAGATCCATGTGTCCAAATCCCTGTAGCCAGGGCGGCGGCCAGCCAAAGAAATGCCGCCCCGAGCAGGCGCGTGCGGCTTCTGGCATTCTGGGTTTCATACCCGTAGGGCTCGGGTGCGGTAAGTATTTCTGATTTCCAGGAAGTCTGTTGGAAGTTAGCAGCACGGAAGGAGAAGGCGCTTGCTTGTTCTCTCTTGTTTTCTTTTTCTTTTCCTCTCCTTCTTCTCATCCTTGTCGCTCTGGTGGGGGCTTCTTGGTTCAGATGCAGTGAGTGCTCCCTGGCAGCCCGAACTGTCTCCTGCACTGTCCCGCTTCTTGGCCACCAGGGATGTTTGCATTCGGGTTCTGTTGTGAGAAACAGCACCGCGGGTGACAGAGGGCGACCCAAGGAGGAATTATAAAGGTTCTGTTTCTCTCTTCACTTTCTTTTTTCCAACTTGGAGACTTGAGACTGAGCGAATCTTGGACTGTGCTGGAGGGTTCAAAAGGTAACACCTTTAGATACCAAACAATAACTTTGAAAAACTCCACCAAGCCAGAGAAAGGGAAGGAGGCTGAGAGAGAAATCTGAAGGTATCTCTTTTCCCCCAAACCCTGAGGATGATGATTCGCTTTTGCTTCCTTTGAAATGGACCAAGTGATCAGACTCCCCCTGGCCGGCAGGCATCGGTGGCAGGAAAATAAATCATTCTGATGGCCAGGGAGAGAAAGATTGTCGGAGGAGAAAAATCTACGTAGAAAACAAGAAAGGCTGACCAAGCCACAAGGATAGGACTCCATCTCTGAGGCTGGCCTCAGAGGGGGCTTGGGTTGGAAATTAGATATAAAGTGGACTTCGTCATTGACTAGCCCAGAGCATTGCCTTACAGATAGAGATGCTATTTTGGAAAATGTGGGGTTTTTTTCAGTTTTCTTGCTTTTATTCCAAACAAAGCTCTGAAGGAAGTCTGAGTGCGATCAATCTTGCTCACCAAAAGCCTTGACAGCTTCTGGCCCTTAAGAACACATTTCAGCTTCGAGCTCTTTCCAAGATCAAATGTGGCCGAGCAAAGAGGAGAGCAGGAAACGCAAGTAAACAAGGAAAACTAGTCTTTTTAAAGATTTTTTTTTTTTTTTTTGGCAGCAGAAAGAGTTATAAGGCTGCTTTTAGGAAAGGTGCTTGGACTCTGGGATGGTGGCTTTTGGCATTTGCTTTTACCAGAAAATATTGAGGGGTTAAGGGGAGGGGGAGCGTGGAGAGGAAGCAACGCTGCCCCCGTATCGTTGAGGCTTTGTCAGGGGCTGCGTGGGTGAGAGCTTTCTGCTGGCCTCAGCGGCCTTAATTCAAATACCATCTGGAAGAAAACCCTTTTTTTGGACCACTCAACACTGAAATCTTCCCCAAACCTATTACTTTAACTCAGGAGATATTTTAATAAGGATTTCTTTTTAATATCCAGCAAACTGGGGTTGAGATTGATATTTTTTCTTTGATAGTCAAAATGAATGTCTTGACTGGCAAGATATGGGAAATCATATTGGAGTCTCCTTTCTAAAATCTCTGCCCTGAGGGGAGAAGGACTCCTCCAAACCAGTTCTCCCTCAGCTAAAGAGTAGATTTTTAGAGATTTTAGAAACGGATTCAAACAGTGGGATCTCCGAAAGACTTTCCTCTCTGGATGGGTAGCTTTCTCTCTCTCTCTCTCCCCGCCCCCCTCCACCACTGTTTCGTATTCTCCCAGGTAATTTTACACACTTCTCTAAAATTATTACTTAAAAGAAGACCCCGTTGTCTCAGCCTACTGTGTTCAGGTCTGAACAACCAAAAGGGTGGAAGCTCCAGTCCTCACAAAGACTGGTTTTCCAGCCTCTACATTTCTGAGGTGCGCCATATGTCAGCAGGGAGGTTGGGGGTGGGGGATGGTAGGGAGCAAATCTACTTCTTCCAAGGCCCAAACTCTTTAAAAAGAAAAAAAAAAATACATAGCGGGAGCCCCAGGACAGATTTGGGGGAAGCGCCTCTAGCAGTGAGAGAAACACCCAGATCTCTACAGCTGCCTGGCTTTGCATCTGCCCAGCCTTTTTCTTTTCTTTTTTTTTCTTAAACTTCAGGAGTTTCTCTAAAAGCAGCTCCTTCACGCCCAGTAGATACCCCCAAAATGGCTCCACTGCCTGTTTTTAAAGCTCATCTTCAGGAGCTTCTGAGGGGAAAGATAGAGGCCATGATGATGTATATTTTGGATTGCAAACAAAATGGCGACATTTCCCATCTCTGCCTCTAAAAGATACAATCCAGGGAGATGGGGGATTTATTTCTCACATCAGATGCTCCTGATCCCCAGACACAGGTGGTTCCTCACTTCCAGCTTTGACAGGGGGGCTGCTGATGGGGATGTATTTCTGAGGTTTGCACTTTCAGATTTCGGTTCCTTCTCCGAGCAATTCTTTAATCTGAAGATGAAAATATTCCCCTTTCCTGTGCCTGCCTTTGCCTCTGCCTCTGCCAGCCAGTCAGTCGGCAGCTCTATCTTAAATCCAGCAGTAGGAATGTAATGTTTAGCTCCTGTAGCATCAAATAAAAGAAGTACTTATAAAACTGCATTTTTATTAGAAAGATACCAATCTCCTTTCTCTCTCCCCCTCCCCCTGGGGCCATAAGAGGAAAGCAGGGAGGGAAGAAGGAGAGGAAATAAATCCAGAGTGTGCCAAATCCTATTTTCCGGGAAGAAGCCAATGCTGGGACTCAAGCAGCCCATGGAAGGACTCGGGTAGGCTCCTTGGAGTTCAGCTCTTCTTTTGCTGGAGACCTGGGTGAGCCTCGGTCTCTTCCGAGCCGCCCCGCTCCCAGTGGCGATTTTAGGAGTGATTCTTTCCTCCGGGCGCGATAAGGGACAGCGAAGCATCGGCGGAGAGGCCAGTTGCTCCTAGAAAGTGCTCGGCATCCTCCGCGCGGCCGGCGATTCCCCGGGTTGAGACGTTGGCTGGTCTGCTTTGACCGGAGGAAGATGGTGGAGCAGAAGACAGCCCTACCTTATCACCCGGCGGGGCTGCCCGGGCACCTGTGCGCCCCGCGCCGCGCCTCAGCCGGGCTGCCTTTGTTCCTCCCGCACTCAGCACTCCGCAGCCCCTGCGCCCGCGGCCGGCCTCGGTGGCAGCTGGGAACCGGGCAGCCCAGCGGGCAGGCAGCTCAGCGTTCCCAGAACTGCCGCCGCGAGAAGCTCCGGCTGCCTTCCCGAGGATTCGCCGCGCTCCCGGGCGAGCCGCCTGGCCAGGACTCAGGCCGGAGCTGGAGGGCTGCCGCGGCCTGCTCCGCCAGTTCGCCTCTGCCTGGACTCCACGCAGACCCTTATCTTCGGCCAAAGAATCCCTTCTGAACACGGATATTATTCAGAATAGAAACTTTATTTTATTTTTTTGTTTTGTTTCTCAGAATGTGAGCAGCAAGGAATGTAGAACTCTCAAAACAAACCTAGCGTTTTTCGCGTTTACAGATTTTTTTTTTTTCAGTTTCGCTTGATGTTACAAACCTAAATCACTGTTTTCAGAAGCTGGATCCTCTCTGGTATTATTGCATCGTTACTGTTTTTATAAAGGAATTCTATTTCCCTTTCGAATAAAATTTTTTTCTATGTACGCCAATACACCATTGAACAAAAGGCCCAAGAAACCTTCTGAACAATCAGGGTACAGAATTTCTTTAATATAAATATGAACGGATGGGGATAAATAATATTTAAAACTTATTCAATGCTTGCAAAAAAAATATAAATAAATCTGACTGTTCACCAGCATACACACACGGAAAGACGTACACTTAGTCATCCTTGCACAGGGAGCCCCTGTTTCAAAGCGCCTTTGATTTTTTTCTCGCTCTTTACAAGAAGTGCAATTAAAAAAAAATACTAAAACCTAAAAAAAAAAAAAGTAATCGCTTCCCCTCGGGAGCCATAATGTACGAACAAATTCACATCAAAGAACTTGGCTAGAAAATTTGTTCATATACCCTGTTTCTGATCAAAGAGTAGAGAAGGTAAAGGTGCAGGGCCAGCGGCCGAGCGAGGGGCGGGAGGAGATAAATATCGCTACTGATACTGACAGCCATTCCAGCAACCAAGATTGCTACGTCACATAAACTATAAAAACGTGTTACCAAAGAAAACAAAACGGGGGGGGGAGAATGGGGGGGCGGAGGAGAGAGAAAAGGGAGGAGCGGGAAGAACCTTAAACAAACAAAAAAAGCAAACGAAGAAGAAAGGTAGGTAGCGGGGGTGGGGTGGGGACTCTCCTGGCGCGCAGCCCCGAGCCCACCATCACAGATGGGTGAGCTTGGGGGCTTCCTGAATTCTTCCCTGAGAAGGATGGTGGGCGGTAAGGTCCGTGTAGGTGGGGTGCGGCTCCCCTGGCCCGGGCCCATGATGGTGGCCACTGCCCAGCGGCCCAGCGCCCCCGTAGTCCATGGCAGCCGAGGCGGCGTGGGGGAGGTGAGTTAGGCCAAAGAGGGGGGGACCAGAGTTGCTCATGGGCTCCACATAGCTGCCCCCAACGAAGACGGGGCTTCCCTGTAATTGTGGAGTCCCATAGCTGCCGTTGCCCTGCAGGCCATGCGCGTGCGGATCATAGTTGGGTGTGCCCCCCGCGCCCGCCCCCGTCGCGGTGTAGCGCTTCTGCGGGGGCGGCGGGGGCGCGCAGCTGGGCAGAGGTGCGGGATAGGAGGCGGGGGGCAGCCCGTAGGCGCCCTGGGGGGGCTTGGAGAAAGGCGGGGGCGACTGGGGCTCGTACGGGACGCTGTTAACCAGCGAATGCATAGAGTTAAGATAACCGCCAGCGCCGGGCGGCACAGGACTGCGACTTGGGGACTGGCCCCCTGATGATGTCAGCATGCCCTTGCCCTTCTGATCCTTCTTGTACTTCATGCGGCGATTCTGGAACCAGATCTTGATCTGGCGCTCGGTGAGGTTTAGCAGGTTGGCCATCTCCACACGGCGCGGCCGGCACAGGTAGCGGTTGAAGTGAAATTCCTTCTCCAGCTCCACCAGCTGAGCGCTCGTGTAGGCCGTGCGCGCCCTCTTGGACGACGCCTGCCCAGGTGGGCTCTTGTCACCTGCGCAGCTCTCCCCTGCGAGACCAGAGGAGAGAGGAAGAGTGGCATCAGGGGCTGCCCGCAGCCCCACCCAGCCCCTGACCCAGCCAGGCCCCTCCTTCCTCCAGGCCCCAAAGATCCCTCCGTTTGTCAGGGCCCAGAACGGGGAAGAAGGAACTACGTATTGTCCTCTGTCCTGGTGGCGAAACAGCGCCTGTAGCCCGTCATTGAGTAAAGCTGCAAATCATAGGCCTCTCCAAGCGGGGGTGTGTGGAAGGAACAGAAAAGCAGAACCCCCTGTTTGCCTTCCTGGTCTGTATTTCCCTTCTGGAGCTATTCACTTTCTGACTCATTTACTGATCCTTCAGCCCTATCAGACTACAAACTCTGTGTGGTCAGGTGTCACCATGTTCATTCCCTTCACAGTAACTGGAATGTGGGGCATCTAATATACACTCAATAAACCTTTCCCTCCATCACTATCTGACTGAAGGATTGGACAGTTGCCTCAACTGGCCACTTATTTGATCTGTCCAGTATAAACGAGGGGAGTGGAAGCTCCAATCTGGAAGGCCTTCTCTGCCAGAAAGAAGAGATCCCATTGAAAAGAGATTCCATTTCTGGTGGAGAGGCTCAGCTCTCTGATGCTGGATGCTATTAATTAGGGTTCTCCATGTCATCAAGCAGCCTGCCCCAGCTTTGGCCACTAATCTTGACCATCCTTTCCTCCCTGGCCCCCCAAATCCTGGCTCTGGATGGTCCCAGATGCTCAGGTTCTTAACAGAGCACTAGCAACTGGAGAAGGCAGCGGCAAAGGAAACGAAGAGGCTGGGAAGCCCAAGACCCAGCGCCTGTCCTCTATTGGAATCTGGTTCCAGGAGGCCCATGTGGTTCCCATTAGCATCCCCTCCCCCAGGAAATCCCTGGCTGCCTTCATTGTACTAAGTCTGAGTAGGGCCTTCCCAGAGATAAGGCAGCCACTCCATCTACTGGAGCAAAAATTAAAAATAGGCTCTGATTATAGGCAGAGCATTGATTCTGACTTGGAGGCCTGCTTTTATTCTGCCACATTTCATTGTGGGGTGGGTGGCACTGTTTCATTAGAAATGAGGAGCTGTGCCAGAAAGAGACAGTGCTGCTCAGGTTTGCTCTGCCCAAAGGCCCTAACGCCACAGGGAGGGACTCCAAAGTCACTAGGCCCCACTTGCTCATAAGAGAGGTCCGGAAAGACTCCCATCAGGTCTGTCTCTGGGCTTTCCTGCGCAGAGTCCAATCACTTCCCTAGTTGCAAAACCTCTGGAAACCTTTGAGGGTTGGGGGGAGGAGGAGTGGTGAATTCTGGAAATAATCCAGCGCTCCTAAACCTTGCTGGCTGTGGCTGGAAGTGGCCTAGGGGGCTGGGAGCCAGGTCAGTGGACCCCCTTCCGGAAGGCGGCCCTTTACCTGAGCTGGAGCCGCTGGTTTTCTGCTTTGTGTTTTGCCGAGACTCTTTCATCCAGGGGAAGATTTGTTTGGCCACGGTGGGCGAGTTGAGTAGGGGGCTCTTGGCTGCGCTGGCGGGGGTGGGGTTGCTGCTGCCATTCTGAGGGGGTGAGACCGACGAGGGGGGCGGGGGCGCGGTAGGGGCAGGCGCAGGGGGCTGCGGCGGGGGGTGCGG